GAGGGAGGAAGGAAGTAAAGAAGGAGGAAAGAAGGAAGAAAAGAAGTAAGGAAGGAGGGAGGGAGGAAGGAAAGAACTTTTGTTCCTGCATCCTGGTAGGGTCTGGTGGCAGGAAGGCAGGACTTGTAGATCCTTAAAGGAGGCTGGATCTGAAGGCAGAACAACTGAATCTCTAACCAGGAGGTGGGCTCAGAGAGAAACAATACCTGAGTCCTGATAGGAAGGCTGAAAGCATAACACCTGGATCTCTCTGGGCAAAGCCTGTGAAAGTGTGACCCAATGGGAAATCTTGGAAGGGTCAGCCACAATGTTCAGGAAGTGATTGGGAGTCTGGAAAAGTTTCAGGGGTGGGGAACTGGTTCAGTAGCCAGGCCTGGGAGGCATGCTTCTGGCAGACCCAATGGCGAGGACAGCCAGCAAAAGCCGGAATGTGTGTGGGGGCCCTGGCTCAGACCTACCTGGGCTCTGCAAGCACAGAGAAGGTTTTCAGAAGGCAGAGTGATCTCAGCTGCAGGGAAGGCAGAGAGGGTTCAGGGCCAAGGGAAAAAAGGAGAGAATCTGAGCTCCAGAGATGGCAAAGTAGTCTCAGCTCAAAGACTTCCTGCTTCCCGCCATCCACTCTAGGTGGGTCCTCCTACCCAAGAGTACCACCCTGTCCAGCCCCTGAGGCCCCACCTCTCCTCCACAAGCCCACCCCTCCATCACGTGGAAAGCCTTCTTCAATGCAATGATCCCCTCTTCCCTCTAAACTCCTCCCAGGCCTCCAAACTCCACCCCAGTGCTCCAACTCCACCTGGGCCACCACCCACCAGGCTGTCATCTCCCAGAACTCTTCCTCCAGTGCCTCCCCCCACTTCCCAGACTCACCTCTTCCTCCTTCTGAGCAGAAACACTGCCTTGATAAAGCGGCAGCCCAAGCTACTGGACCCACTACTTTGAGGAGCTGGCAGGAAAGGGCTCTTGGGGAAGTTGGGATTCTATATACCACTTGTAACTGTAAATCCCGATTGGATGGGACTGAGTTTCTCCCAGTGAGACAAGTTCTCTCCCTTTATAACTGTGATATTTGAACCTCTGCAAGTAGACCAGACCTTAAGGCAAAATACAGTTAAAATTCAGCATTAAGGTAATATGATGAGGAACTGTAAGAATAAGAATTAAAGGCAATTGGAGCAGAATTACTCTATTCTCCTCTGAATGCAGTCAGCCTACAGCACTGCTGGGGAACCTGAGGCCTTGTGGCCTTCTAGGTCCTTGGGTGCAGCCTTTTGACTGAGTTCAAGTTTTACAGAATAAATCCTTACAGAGTAAATGCCTTGGGACTTTCTCTTTAGGCAAGGTCACCAAATCTTATTAGTCCTGGGGAAGAAGGTGCTGAAAGAAGGCTGCCTGATTTGAAAGGGATGAAGTGGTTTACTGTGTAACAGAACTGTACCAGCTGAAGTGGGGGTGGTGTGGAGGGAGAGGCCCAATGGAAAGGGCAGAAGCCAGAAAGAAGCCAGGAGCCATGTGGGGGCCTGGTTCAGACCTGCCTGGGACCTGCACCCACAGCTGGCTTCCAGAAGGCAGAAAGATCTTAGCTCCAGGGCAGAAGGCTTTACACATTGTGTTATAGGTTTGTTTCTAATAGAGAAGTGATTTTTGTCTGATGGATTGTCTGATCCAGAGGTTCTCAAACTTATTTGGCTTACCACCCCCTTTAAAAAAAATTACTCAGCAACTTCTGGAAATCAACTTTCTTTAACTCTTTAAAGGTTTTTTTTTTAAATCATTATTTCAAAAAATATAAAATATTTTTTAAATGATGCATCTTAAATTTAATAATTTATTGTAAATTTGTGGGTTTTTTCCTGCTTTGAAATTTTGATGATGCTATATTGTATCACATAACCATTTATAATATCATCTTGTAAACAAGTCATTACATGCACATATTCCTGCAGATGCATGCTAGACTTCTGGACAATGTACCAAATGCCTACCTATGCTTGCTTGTTAAAAGATTTGACCACTGATTGGTTATAACTTGCATTTAGTGCATTTATTTGGAAAATAATGTAGTCACTATGACTTTAACTCTGTTACACAACAGATGAAACATGTACAAACAGCTTTTCAGAATTTTCTTATCTTCTTTCCTTATACTTCCACAGCCCCCCTTATTTTTATTTAACACTCCCCAACTGCACCCAACACTACTACTGCCCTCCTGGATCATGCCAGCGCCTCCAGGGGGCAGTATCGCCCACTTTGCCAACCTATTGTCTGATCATGGATTATGAAAATGATAAAATTACACCAGGAATAATACGAATGAAGTGATATCTTGCAGTCAACTTAGTCTCAACAGACTCGTTGATGTTCCCAGCACACTGGCTATCTCTCTAGGACCCCTTGCTCTTGCCACACGACCAACCTATCTTCTCTCCCTGTCATCCAAATTTCTGACATCCTTTATTCCTGTTCTTTAGAGTTCCTCATCAGTATGGTACTAGAAATGTTACCTATCTCAATAAGAGAAGATAAAGAAATTTAAGGCATTAGAATAGGCAAAAAAGAAACAAAACTATCACTCTTTGCAGATGATATACTTAGAGAATTCCAGAGAATCAAGTAAAAAACTACTTGAAATAATAAACAACTTTAGCAAAGTTGCAGGCTATAAAATAAACCCACATAAATCATCAGCATTTCTAGATATTACCAACAAAGCCCAACAGCAAGAGATAGAAAGAGAAATTCTATTGAAAGTCACTGTAGACATCATAAAATACTTAGGAGTCTACTTGCCAAAACAAACCCACAAACTATACGAACACAATTACAAAACACTTTTCACACAAATAAAGTCAGATCTAAATAATTGGAAAAACATCAGATGCTCATGGGTAGACCGAGCTAATATAATAAAAATGACAATTCTACCAAAGCTAATTTACTTATTCAGAACCATATGGAGCTAGAAAAAATAATAGCAAGATCCATTTGGAATAACAAAAGGTCCAGAATAACAAGGGAACTAATGAAAAGAAATGCAGGGGAAGGTGGTCTAGCTGTTCCCGATATTAAATTGTATTAGAAAGCAGCAATCATCAAAACTACTTGGTACTGGCTAAGAAATAGAGTGGTGGATCAGTGGAATGGGTTAGGTATGCAAGATACAATAGTCAATGACTATAGTAATCAACTGTTTGATTAACCCAAAGACTCCAGCTTCTGGGATAAGAACTCACTCTGACAAAAACTGCTGGGAAAACTGGAAAAGAGTATGGCAGAAACTAGGCATAGACCAAAAACTCACACCATATAAGTCAAAATGGGTTCATGATTTAGATATAAAGGATGATACTATAAGCAAACTGGGAGAGCAAGGAATAGTTTTCTTGTCAGATTTATGCAGAACAGAAGAATTCATGACCAAACAGGAGATAGAGAACATTATGAAATGCAGAATGGATAATTTTGATTGCATTAAATTGAAAAGTTTTTGCACAAATACAGCCAATGCAACCAAGATTAGGAGGAAGTAGAGAATTGGGAAAGAATTTTTACAACCAGTGTCTCTGATAAGGGCCTCATTTCTAAAATATATAGAGAATTAAGTCAAATTTATAAAAATATAAGTCATTCCCCAATTGATAAATGGTCAAAGGATATGAATAGCCAGTTCTCAGATGAAGAAATTAAAGCCATCTATAGTCATATGAAAAAATGCTCTAAATCCCTATTGATTAGAGAAATGCAAATCAAAATGATTCTGAGGTACCACATCACACCTATCAGATTGGCCAACCTTATAAGACAAGAAAATGATAAATGTTGGAGAAGATGTGAGAAAATTGGAACACTAATGCATTGTTGGTGGAGTTGTGAAATGATCCAACCATTTTGGAGAGCAATTTGGAACTATGCCCAAAGGGCTATAAAATGTGCATACTCTTTGACCCAGCAATATGGGTCAAAAAATGTGAAAAGGACCCACATGTACAAAAATATTTATAGCAGCTCTTTTTATGGTGGCAAAGAATTGGGATCTCTTTCAGGAGGTGACTGGTGGATTCTTTCAATTTCTATTCCACCTTCTGGTTCTACAACATCAGGGCAGTTTTCCTTGATCATTTCTTAAAAGATCATAGCTTTGAAGTACTCCAATAATTTTTAAATTATCTCTCCTGGATCTATTTTCCAGGTCAGTTGTTTTTCTTTCTTTTTTCTTTTTGTCAGTTATTTTTCCAATGAGATATTTCACATTGTGTTCTACATTTTCATTCTTTTGGTTTAGTTTTATTGTTTCTTGACTTTTCATAAAGTCATTAACTTCCATTTGCTCCAT